GAGAGAGAGAGAGAGAGAGAGAGAGAGAGAGAGAGAGAGAGAGAGAGAGACAGAGAGACAGAGAGAGAGAGAGAGAGAGAGAGAGAGGCTGAATGGCGAAATTGAAATATGGGTCAAATTGCGGTCGCGATCTATTTCGTAGTTGGAATGATTTTTATTTTATTTTTTAGCGTTTTTCCTGGAAAGATCACAACAAAATCTATGAATACTCTGATTTTCAGGTTTTCTCACGCATTCTTCTGAAAGTGAAAACTCACCAAATTGCGAATACTTTTAAAGTTGGCCCACACATGGCTGAGTGGCAAAAATGGCAAATGTGCCAAATTGGCACGACGATTATTTCTGGGTGTAAATGATTTTTTGTTAATGTTCTAATATTTTTCATGGAAAGAACACGACCTCATCTATAGATTCTCAAAATTTCAGATTTTTCTGCAGGTTCCTCCGAGCACAAAAAATCGCCAAAGGTGGCTCTTGCAAAACGCCTGTTTCGTTGCGCCTGATCTCCCTGTTTTGAGAAGTCGGGCCTCAACGCCTGGGCCTGAGGGCCCTTTTGCAGTTCACATGCCCTCACTTTGTTTTGGGGTCCTGTTCCACCGGTGGACCCGTCCAACACCCCCCACTTCTTTTTGGGGTCCACTTCCACCCGAGGACCGGTCTTTCCTTTTTCCAAAAGTCCCGGTTCTAACAGAGCTAGCAGTAGGTAGTCCGTAATTTTGGCAAGGACCAGTTCCCCAAATTCTTTTGCCCCCTAAGAACTCACTTTGCGTCCTGGTCGCCCGCCGCCAAAAATGCGACACCTTGACACATACGCTGAACCCCAGTAGACTGCAGCCTAAGGGATGCGGACACACTAACTCAGGGGCTCGTTAGACACTCCTCAGACACTTAAAATCTACAAGGGCGTGATCGTTCCACCTATCCTCATGGAAGAAAATGGAAAAAAAAGTGAAAACATTTCCTCGAGGAATGCTTGTAGCATCCTTATGGCCCAGCCATTTTGTGCCCTGGTGCAAGGGACCTCGCGAGGTCCCTCGGAGCTCAAGGATCCATGATAATCGGAGCAGTGAAGACACGCGTCGTCGACAACTGTACTTTTTCGGCTGGTCCATTGGTGTTCTGCCAGCAGCTGCACGAACATCTTCAGGCCTCAACGTTGGGATTTCAGGCAACGGATCGCCAACGGTTATTGTTAGAGGACGGTCGTTGTCGGGGTTCGTCTTCAATTGGGGTTATCGTCGCGGTGCCTCCCGCCAGCTTCGTAGGGGTTCAACAGTCGGGAAAATTGAATATTTTTCTCGATCCCCCTCCTGCATGCCCACTCGTGTCGGTGAGGTGTGTTGTATGCTGTCCTCTACCGTTTGCTTCCTTCATCGTCGCCGGTTGGTGGACCTTCACCCTCGTCGTGGAGTTATGGCCCTATCGTACGTATTGTTGATGGTCGACCTCTATCGAAGGCTGCCACTAATGGTCCTCCTTTTCCACGTGTGCATCTTCGGCTCCGCCGTCGCTTCGTCGCATTGCTTGAAATCCTCTCATGCCCCCCCATCCTCGTTTTCATCCACCACCTCGTCGTCACTCATGGAAGAACACCGCAACCCATGGCACAACAAACCTGAACTACAACCTCGGTGATGGCCACGGTATCCAGCCCTTCGACCAGGACGGACTTGATGGAGTGTATTCCTCCTCCAGGCGTGGATCTGCAGTCTCATTCTTCCCAATGCCCTCTCTTGCTGACAACGAAAGAGCACGGCCGTCACGGTTGTTGCCACGCCTGTCTTCTCGATCGTCGTCAACTTTGCACGTCCGTTGTTGCCGCCGCCCTCCATCGGC